CCTTGTTGATGACCCTCACTCTGTCAAGGACCTAGGAGTACTCATATCTAATGATCTAAGCGCCAGAGCTCACTGTAACAGCATTGCCAAAAAGGCATTAAGAGTTGTAAATCTAATCTTACAAAGCTTCTCCTTTAGAAATATTGAATTGTTAAACTAGGGCATACAACTTTTGCTAGACCAATACTCGAATACAGCTCATCTGTCTGGAATCCGCACTGTATATCAGACATTAATACAACTGAGCGAGTCCAGAAGTATTTCACGAGAAGAGTACTACACTCCTCCACTCACAACAGAATATATCACCAGACCTGAAATTTTGGGCTTGGACAATCTTGAACTACACCACCTACGGTTGGACTTAAGCATAGTACACAAAATTATCTGTTACAATGTTCTACCAGTCAATGACTACTTCAGCTTCAACTTCAACCATATAAGAGCACACAACAGATACAAACTCAATGTTAACTGCTCCAAACTTGATTTCAGAAAGTACAACTTCAGTCAATGCCTGGAATGCACTACCTGAGTCTGTAGGTACATCCTCAAACCCCACTCCTTTAACCTCAAACTATCCACTATTGACCTCACCTCATTCCTAAGAGGTCTGTAAGGGGCATGCATAAGTGCACCATCGTGCCTCCCATCCCTGTCCTAATGTCACCATTTAATCGTACCTATTTTCTGTATTCTTACTCATGTTTATACTTATACCTATTATCTTGTAAGCAATTGACAAATCAAATACATAAATAAAATAAAATAAAATAAAATAAAATAAAATAAAATGTTGGAAGTGTGAACAAGAAGGACCATTATAACATGCTTGGTGGACGTGAAAAACAACCCCTAAAATCTTTTGATTCAAGTCCATGTACTGATTGAAAGGATTTTAAATATTAATGTACAATTGAGACCAGACGTTTTCTCTTGGGACTGATGAACAAATAGTTGGAAAAAAGTCATGGAACTTGGTTTTGTTTGTTTTTGTATACAAGATACAACTTATGCAAGTATAACTTTATATTTTTTCTTTTTTCTATTTTTCTCTAACCTTTTTCTTTTCTTGCACATTTTTCTTTTTCTTTATCCTTTCTTATTGTCTATTAGTTTGTGTTAACTTGTTTAAAAGTTTTAATAAAAGTTATATAAAAATATTTGGACAAATATCTGATAATTAAACTGGAAGTAAATTATTTTTAATTGAATATACTTAAATTGAATAATTATTCTTATAATATTATAAATTACTATTAGTAGCAGTGGATGATCTTGACATGCTTAATATTTGTGATATATATTTTTGTGTGTGCATGTGCAAAATGCATTTTCAGAGATTTAATGCACTGTTTAGGAAATTTATTTGAAAACTTTTTAATTTTTTTCATATAGAAAACTTCAAATATAAAAATGGGCAAATTAATTTTTTTCAAATCAAACTTGCAACATAACTTTCTTTGATCAATGAATGGTAAGTTCTGTCTACTGCCTACTCTTGTGAGCTATATTGGAATTGTTTAGAGAATTTTTAAATTTCAGAATATAGAATGGTATACTGAATATCAATAAAGCATTAGTAAATTTAATATCGATCAATCAGTTGTAAATTTAGTATACGATGTTAAGGAAAGATTATTTGAAATTTGTCACCATAAAAAGATATTGTAGTGGTCAGTAGCTAGTCTGTAACACTAAAGGTTTGTCAGCAGTTTATAGAACAATAATATAACTACAAAATATGATTTTATTTAGGCTTTTATAGAATTGAACAAACACGCAACATTGTTCAAATATGTTTCAAGTAATTAGTGCTTAATTCAAATTGATTTCAAGTAAAATGAAGGTAAGGATGGAATTTTTGAAAGATTACAAAACAAGATATAATCATCAATATAGGAAACATTTTGGTACTTATGGATTTACTTTTGGCAAGAACCTCAGGCAATGAATAAAATGAGTGGAATGGAATTATACACATGGAAAGGTCTATAATTTTCTGTTCTTGGGAAAGGTTGGTGTGGAGGGGTATTCTTTGTTTTTTTTTAAACTGTTCTAACCTATTTTACAGTTTAAATCACTTTTTAAATGTAATTAATTCTTCAAAAATCCTGAAAATGGCATAGCTTGAAGTTCACCAGAAGAACTTTAGAGGCTTCTCAAGTTGCAAAAATATTCAGGTATCATAGGTTACCCATCAATTCTCATAACATATGGAAGAAAATGCTGCTATGGACATAATTAAGTACCAGGAGCAATATCACATTAGCATTAAACTCACTTAAAAGAAAGTTACAGCTATTTTAGAGATGCATTCTTGGACAAAATATCCAAAACTCAGCTTTGTTCAGGTATTTTCCCACGTCATTATAGTTGTGCTTTTAATGTTGTAGCAACGTTTCAGCAGAATCTCATCTGCCATCATCAGGCTTCTGTATTGTGTTCATCTGTGTGTCAGACTTTCATAGCCGTTTCAGTTTTAAATTTGGGGCTAGCCTACTGCTGTGTTAGAATGTTTTTTTCTTCATCCTGATTGGTTGGGAGTCTTGGTCTGTGTTTATTGGTCTTGGAATTTGCTGTGTTCTGCTTGATTGGTGTTTCTGATTTCTAACTTATTTCTTTCAAACCCATTTCAAAGTGCAATGAAGATACATTCTTACAAAGTTAGCATTTGGGATGAAAAATTAATAAAAGGAAAAATAAATGCTAAATAATAGAGTACATCTATCAGAAGGAGTGTTTACATATGGCAAATTATATGAGGAGATGATTAAACCTAGAACATATCACAAACATTTTCTCAAACTCTTTTTTTAAAAAAAGAGAAAACATGTACATACTTCAGTAGTCCTCTAACACATTCCTTTAAAAAACTAAGCAACTAAGAAAAAAATGTAAAAACTTAAATGCATTGAGAACTGTATTAATTAAAATAGTTAACACATATACTATTGTGCTCTGAAAATACTGTTTCTTTTTATACAATTCTGTAGTATTAAAACTGGAGTCAGCTATATTAAGCACTTCTACTTCCACTAGTCAAAATCCTTACTCAAGAATCTTCTCTCTGTTGTTTTATATCCTGCTGCCCATCAATATTCTGTTCTTTTCTGTTCTCACCAATGCGGCACATAAAATGTAAGAACTGCCACAAAATTATTGTCACAGACTCCACTTCTGAGGTAATAATATCTATTCAGCTTCAGATTACTGCGTTTATTAAGCTTTGCAACTTACAGTATATGAGTATCATGTAAAAGCTCTTTATTTCTGTAGTAGTTGATTTATTTCTGATTCTGAAGAGTTATGAAGCAAATCTCCCTAATTACCAAACATAAATCACTGGTGTCAAGCTAATGTTAATTTTACTATCATGCTTAAACCAGCATGCACTGTAATGTGCATAGATAAAATTATATTTCGAGGGTTGAAAAATATCTGATTTTGGTAGGATTCTCTTCATTCTAGACATTCAAAGCTTAAGGCACAAATAAGAATTATGTTTAGTGGAATTTACCTCTGAGTAAACATGCTTCTCCCTGGGATGGCCCATTGGTAATGACAATGTTTAATTAAGTTTCTTTTGGGTGCCTTATCACTTTTGCTCAATGAAGAAATATATGGGAAAATCACTTATCACAAAATCAGCCAAGGTTAACCTCTACTATCTATTTACAAAATGCTTCTGAGATCCTCACAGATCACATAGGAATTCTTATAAAACACAAATGGAGAGTTAATATAGGAAATTAGCAGCATATCTATTTGTCAATAAAAAAGGAATAACTGGGAAGGTAGGCAATTTATTTATTTATTTGATTTATATTGCCGCCTATTCGCCCATGGCAACTTGAGGTGGCTTACACAATGTAAAATCATATTTAAAACAAAAAATAAAAATAATAAAAACTAACAAAAAGAATCAAATAAATTAGTAAAGTACAATAGAACAAAATTTGGGAAAACAAAAAAACAAAACAAAACAAAAACCAACTCCCACCCCCCCGCCCCGATGACAGCAGATCACAATAGCCATTTAATGGGTTCCATCCCTCTCTGGGTTCCCCAGGCCCACTGGAAAAACCAAATTTTCAATATCCTGGGAAAGGGCTGGGTGGATAATGGCTGAATGGTGAGCAGCCATATTGATTTGCCATCTGGAAAATGGGTGATTTGGGACAGAACATACCATCATAACCACAGTTCTTTTTAAAACAGGCAAGTCCACTTCTTTAAGTTATTTTACCAGGTATGTCAATTGTCTCAGGAAGATTGTCCATCCATGCGATAGTCATTATCACATATACTACACATATTCCAGTTAAAGGGACATACTTGAACAATCCCAAGCAATTGACTAGATAGGGAGGTTAAAAATATCCCTGGAGAAAGCAATGGTAAACCATGCATGTATTATTGCCAATATAACTCTATGTATACAGTCACTGGCAATCAAGTTCTCAAGGATATTCTTTCTTTCTTTTTTCTTTTTTCTGGTCAAATCTTTCTTCTCAAAATGGAGAAGTTAGATGTGAAAGGCAATAAGGATAGGGTAATTGCATACTTTGCACTGGAACATTTCAAAAGCTGTAGTCCAAAACATTTGGTGCATAACAAATTGGGAAATGTATGCTAGTACTCAAGCAATAGAGACTGATGCTTATGAAAAGCATCAAATTACCAGGAGAAACAAAATCTTTACTGAATTATTCTTTCATCTGTTTTGCAGGAGGAACATCTCTTTTAAATTGATGCCTACATCAGCTTGAGATAAAGGAAGCTTGCTTTTGACACAGGAGTTATATTTTCCCTCTCAGATATACATTCTATGATTTTCTGAAATTCACAGGGTTAAACAGCTGAGATATGTTTAAATAAACAGGTCTTTTGAAATACATGTACAAATCCTAAGAGACCAAACATTGACATACTATTTCTGAATGTTTAAACTGAATCCGAAGATGCTTCACACATTGATTAGTTAATCTAGTACTTACTGGAACTGTTAGTGCAGTAACATCCTGAGTGTTAATTGTTGGGTCATTCTGTCTCTCTTGGTAGACAACACGATATTGAGAAATAGCACCATTAGGAGAAATGGGGCTGGTCCAATTTAGGAACAGAGAATGAGCACTGATCGCTTGTGCTGAGGGAGCTTTCATGCCTGATGGTGGAGCTTCTAGGGTCTGCGTTGAAGCCCAAGAACTATTTACAGAACCTTTGGAATTCTGAGCCTTGACACGGTATTCGTACTCTGTAAATGACTGAAGAACATCTGTAGCATCAATAAATTCTAAAGTGCCTTCAGACCAGATGAACACAAGCATTTCCTCTTGAGTCTCCATAGGACGCCTGGAAGGCAGACAAAAAAGTTTTGATGGTTTTTGGCAGGTTCAAATATAATAACTGGATCCTGAAGTACACATTTCAAAACTGCCACAAGTATAGTATAGTTTCTCTGATAAATGTTAATGCTAATCTACAATATTGCACTAAGTGCTCCTTGTGTCCAAAACATTATCCTTTTCATTAAAAAAGAAAAGAAAAAAGTGATCATTGCAGGGTTCTTTTAAGAGTAACATGGGAAAATGTTTGAAATGTTACCAGTAGAATTATGCATTGATTATCTTGGTGTTTTATTCATTAGTGTCATTGAGGTGAGAGTTTAATATATAGAAGACAAGTATACAATGTGCACACCGAGATGCATACATTAATAATCTGTTTTAGGGGTTTTCTAATTAAGAATAAAAATGCTGAACTACTGTGTACACAAAGTCATTAAATAGTTGTTTAAGACAAGAACCTCAAAGTTTATCTGATCTAGTGTAAAAGTGAATAATGATTTGAGTTCTAGGATCTTGGACTTTTAAAGGTATTTTCATTAAATTCAGTTCATTTACATGACGAGGACTAGAATAATGATTTAGAAAATGTAAGGGGAAAACTTCAAACTAAAAAAAATGTATTTTCTGCTTGCCACTGAGAGCTGATTCCATATATGAGTGTATTTAACATGCATTTTAGTGCAAGAAGTCTTTTAATTTTGATTATAAAAATCAGTCATTGAAGAAAAGTGAAAAAATCGTTCTAAGTACCACAAGCCTCTTTTTAATACTAAGTAGCTCCATTTGCACTTTAAAAAATAGCTGTTTGCTGAATTTATAAAATAATGTTTAGCAATATGGGGAATGTGTAAGAAAAAGCTTCCTTGCACTGAAATATCAAACATGTCACCAACTGTGAGCTTTTCCACAAGCAAAAGCTGAACAATGTAGCCTGGTTAAAGTGTTTATATCATATTGCTGCTAAATATTTAATGAAAGAAACTTATGCTTAGGCAAATAGTTCCATCTGTAGTTCTAAAAAGACAGCATATCTTGTATGAATAAACTGCGAACAGAAGTGTTTGAGCAATCTCTAATCATTTCAGAAGGCTGAGTATTTAGAATTCAACTGCTCATTTAAGTGGAAGTTTTTCTCCTAAAAGAGCAGGCAATAAAAGGAGAAAGATGCCATTTTAAAGAAATGTCAGTTGCCTCTGCTTCTATGCTTTGCTTGCCTTGCCACTTACTCCTAAGATATGTAGATAGATTTCCAATTTTTAGCTTGGTAAACCTGCACAGCTAGTAACATAGCCAGTATATTCTGGAAAGAGAAAGGCTGTTTTTTTAAAAATATATATATATTTAAAATGGAAGATGTCATTCTTTGAGTCAAATGTGTGAAGTTTAATTTTGTGGGTTTTGCATAGCTATGCATATAGCTTTTTTCATGTGAAAATTGCGTGCTCATTATAAAAGTCTCTCCCTTGGCCTCTGTGCATTCAGTCTTAGGTCAGAAAAGAAGCTTGGTGAGTGTAATTGGCAAACTCCATGCGTGTGATGAAATGTAGTAAGGAGGTGGATCCCCAGGGGAAAGGGCTGAATTCCAGAGGAACCCCTCCCTGATAATTCACTGGGGGTAGATCCAGAGGTGGGATTCTACCAGTTTGCACCTATTTGCTAGAACTGGTTGTTAACATTCTAATCAGTTTGGAGAACCGGTTGTTAGAAGAAATTACTGGCTTAATCCTGTAAGGAAGACAGGAAGGAAACATTCTGGTGTTGCTTGCAGAAACTGCCTCTCCATTAACTCTTATTACATTCTTGGCAGGACTTGACTTCCTGTCTCAGGAACTTCTCTGGAGTTTTTTTCCCTTCCTTTGGTGGTACTTTGCTTGTGTGGAGTGACCATTCAAAGTTACAATGGCAGTGAAAAAAGTGACTTCTGACCATTTTTCACACTTATGACTGTTGCAGCATCCCCACAGTCATGAGAGGCCAGGCGAGATGCATGCCTTGATGTGAGTGATATTGAGTTAGCCACACCCAGCCAACAACATGACCACCAAGCCATGCCCACCCAGTCATATGACCACCAAGCCATGCCCACCAACTAAGCCACGCCCACAGAACCAGTTGTTAAAAAATTTGAATCCTACCCCTGGGTAGATCTGTACAATTGGGTATCATTATACCTCCTCCCATGCTTATCCAGTGGTCACATGTAGTTGGTAAATAGGAGAGGAGAATGCACTTTTATATTCACTCACTTTAAACATACTGTAACTTTAATTAAAATGGTAAGTGTGTTAGAAATGGCTGACACTAATATATGGAGACATCCTGAAGAGTAGACAGAAAGTGGTTCTAATAATCAGAGATGTCTCTTAACGTTTTGCATTATTCTTTACAGCCTGAAGAAACTCTTGAACTCCATTGCCATCTTTTAACCATTCAGTGCCTGACCATTCCTCCCCTCTATAGAACAAGTAAATATTGTTAAGATGAAAAACCTCCTTCTAACTACTTTGAATATAAAATATCCTTCTATCCACTTTTAAAATCAAGTCAACCTAATGATAACGTGCTTTTAAATGTTATCATTATATTGACTTTATTTTGTATTTATTCTGTAATCAAGTCTCCCTCACTCTGTATAAGCTTGCTTTACAAAGGGAAATATGCAGGACTCACATAAATACACACAGATATACCCGAGTTTATGGTTCAGAAATAAATGGATAATAAATATTGCCATCCCCCAAATAGTTTTATTCCAATTAAGACTCTAAGCTTTTGAAAAAAAGATTCGTGATGGGGAATGAGAGAGAGATATCATGAAGGTTAGCATAGAAGAAGCTGAAACCCTTGCAAATTTAGATCCTTCAGTTTTAATGAAAAACTGCCGACTCACTTGCTAGTTAAATAAATTTAGTTTCATGTATAAATGGCAATAAGGCAGGGCAGAAAAAGATGAAACAGAAATTACATGCAAAACATCATCTGAAAATATTGAAGGGTTTTTGTTAGAGCGGTCTGAGGCTGTGTATGAACACTGCATGAAAAAAAGTGCTGTGCTTACATTCCATTTCTATCCTTACATATTTCTGATTTTTTTTCATAGCTATCTGGGAAAGATGTGATATTGTTGTTGTCTAAGCACATTTAAACTTCAGCTGAAATAACTGCCAAGTGATTCATGCCTATGTAGGTGAATATAACGATTGTATCTGGAGCCCCAGTGCGCCATTTTCATTTCATTTTAAATAAAAAACAAAATGTATCTATGTCAGTCAGTGCCCTTCTGCTGTACTCCGAGGTATCAAACAGGCTACAATTATGATTGTGAAGTGATTGTGTCACATTGGAGGAAGGTTTATTGCTTTCGAGTCTGCTAGGCAGTAACACATTCTGTTTCATATTACTCTTTATATCATTGTTTGGCTGTGACTAGAATAATCAAATGCCATCAAATGCTGTCAAATTCAATTTACAATATTTTCCACTTTCTGCATTATATTTCCTGCTTTCCCTTTCCCTGGCTGCTATGGAATTGCTACTACAATCATCAGTGCTGTTTACAAAATCAGCAGCATGAAAACATGTTTTGGACTATGAAAGATACTTTATTTCCTTTTATACAGAATTGGGGTTTAATCTATTTGGTCATACAATTAGCATAGAAAAGGGAAGATATTCCAAATCGAGGAGCATTTTAGAAACTACTAGAAGCCTTCAGCCAAAATACTAGTAAGTTGGTTCAAGACATACTAATATCAACAGCTTTTTTAGAATCAATTGCTCCTTGACAAATAGTATAGAGCCAAGTTTGACCAAATTCCTTTGTCACTATGAAGATCTCGGAACTTCAAACATCAGCCTGAATTCTATCTTCCTTGCAAAGCCATTGTCACTGGCAGTTATTGCCTAGCCTAATGAGCATTTTTTCTTTTTCTGTCACTCTTTCCTTCAACTCCATGGGTCCATCATGTTTCCATAGCAATGACGATTTTCAGGCTAATGCCTAGTTCTTCCTATTTATTTTCTTCAAACTGTCTTTCACCCCTTCTCTCCCTTTCCTCTTAGCTTGCCATCTTATCTGCATTCATTACTTTGGATTCTACAGAGTCACTGCCCCTTCTCCCCAACATACCAGCTTTTCTTCCTTGAACAATGGAACATTCTTATCTATTACATTTTCTTAATCAACAAAGACAGAAGGCTTACTGCCACAACCCCTATACTGTATATCATAGAGGTCTGTGACAAGCAAGACATGTGCAAGTTTAAAATATTGTAGAAACATGTACACAATACTAGTCACTTGTTCTTCTAATTGGAGTTTTTGAACTTGGTGGATAATACACCATAGTATATCTAATCATAATGAATGCTGACAAAAGAATTACACTGCAAAAGAAAACCAGAAGAGTTTTAATGCAGGCACAGATTCTGCATTCGGCATGATGCATATTTGAAAAGCTATCTGGTCCAGCTGCATTCAGGAAGGCTCATTGAGACTTGGTTTTAATGTTCTTTTCATTGTGTTGAAAATGCAATTCATGGTCAGGACTCAAAACAGAAGTAATACTAAAATACTCTTTTTATAACAGTGATGATGATATAATCTTTCTTCCATAATCATTATGTCTTTCTGGGGTGTTTATTTGGATGTTTTGTGTTCTGCTTAGGACTATCCATCTTGAAAAAAACCCTCACCTTCACAGAAAGTTTCCACTACATAGTGAGGTCTATAATCTTTAATCTTTAAAAATACAAAGCTTCAAGAAGTACCTGTAAATAAAGTAGTTTCTAATTATCCCATTGGATTTTTTAGGAGGTAACCATTTCACATATATACATCTTGGTCCAATGGCTGAAATGATAGGAGGATTCAAATCTTCAGGAAAGGCTTCAGCAGTGGTTGCATATACTCGTTCACCAACTCCGCAGCCAGCTAGAAAAATACAAACCATACCTTAGGAATCATATTACCTTTCAAGCATGCAAAGTACTCTTCTAATTGTCAAAGAGTCGAGAACCAATATTTCTTAATGAAAATATGTCTTTTTCAAAACATTGTAACCACTGTAATAAAAAAATTAAATATATGGGGCCTTGAGGTGTTTTGTAGAAAGTCCAGACACAATTGTTTTATTTATCTATTAAATTTCTACATTACCTTTCTCATCTCTGGGCAGTTAACATCATTAATCAGAGAGTTCGGTATGTAAGAAAGGAAAGTATACCATTCATAGCATCTTCCAAATCAAGCTCAACCCCTGGTATCTTCATAGACAGATCCAAGCAGCTTATTGTGATTATTTTCTGAGAGGTTTTCTTTATTTGCCAGTGGAACCTAGATCTGTGGTATTTCAGAGAATGTTTCATCCCAATATTGTTCAGACTCAACTTGACAAACTATTTGTGTTCAGTTGTTTTTCACTGTACTGCCATTATTTACTCTAGACTTTTACACACACATCTATACACACACACACACACACACACACACACACAGACACACACACCACATGAAATAAAATGTTCTTCAAGCTGAACTTAATTGGATATGCCCATGCAGTTTTCTTGGCAACAATATGGAAGACTTTTACCATTCCTTCTGGGACTGTTTTCTTTTCCTACTTTTCTCTCTCTCTCTCTATATATATATATATATGGGGGTCCTGAATGTCTACCAACCAAATACTAACTATAATTAATCCTGATTACTTTCTGAGCCTAGACAATATTGCCTAAAACTGCCATTTTTCCCTTAAAATGTTTCTTTAGAAATGGAAATTGCAAGGACAAATACCATACATTTTGATACGAAACCATGATACGAAACCAGAATACGAAACCAGAAACCATGATACGAAACCAGAATTCAGCAAGATGATCATTAATACTGAACACATTTGCCTTCTTAGTTTCTGGACTATAATGTGGATTCAGTTCCTCATAAAGTCCATTCAAACATGTCAAATAAATTGATATCAAACTCTGTTCATAACATAGATAGTAAGCTTGACCCCAAATCACAATTTTCCATTTTGGTTTAACAAAGGGAAAGCAAAAATAAGAAGCAGTGAGTTGCAAAACTCATTCCTGCTTGCTTACTGGTTTGCTTTCTGAAAATCAGTTCCTTGGGTAAAGTTGTGCTTTTTAAAATATATGTCAAACTCATGCTCTCAGCTCAGTTATCAATCCTTATTAAAGTCCTATCTGTTTGGCAATGTATGATTTACAACATTCCTTTTTTTAGAATTCAGACAATGCAAGATATTTTTTGAAACAATTTGGTTTGGGGCAAGGTGTTGATGATGATAATGATTTTCCAACTATTTAGTTTGATTTCCAATGGAGGAATGCCACTTGCTTTAGAAACCCAGAGACAAAGGCAGTCTCATATTCAATACCACCTGAAGAATTCCATTATGCTGTACCGATGCTAACAAAACCCATTAGATCAAGTATCATTCATTTCTTATAATTCTAAATAAGAGAGACTTATCCTTCTGTTTCCTATGAATAATAAAAGGGATATATAAATTACTGATGTAGGATTAATTGGGAATGGAGTTTCTCCAATGTGTATTTCTAGAATAGTTTTAAAAAACACCTTGTTTTATGTTTTTCATAAAAAGGGCTGACATTCTCCCAAATGTGAACTATTTAAATTTTCTATTGAAATATTAATGATACAATATGGAGATGTGTAAAATAAATGATTCAATCCTAGGTTTGCTTTTACTAGGTAAACATTTTGGAATAAGATGTTATTCTGTTATTTAAACAGAATATATTTGCAAAATTACTTCCAATAACAAAATGGAATTACTTAACATCTTACCATTCTGGCAGGCTTGTATCCTTATCTCGTATTTGGTGTATGGATCAAGTCCATTCAGAAGAATGAATTTGGGTTGCCCAACTGGTTTTACAAGTGGGGAGGTACTGCCAGCATCTAGTAATATATTGTACTCCAAAGGCACATTGCTCTCAAATGACCCTGTAATAAAATAAATAAAATAAATTTATAGAATGGTATTGAAATTGGAAATAGTTGGGAGAAAACTTCCTAAATTTTAAAATAAAAGCAGTAATTTTGAAACTACTATAGCACTATTATTCTGATAAGTGAATGGAATGAGATGAGCAGATTTACTAAACTCAATAGGGAAACCACATGACTTGGTTAGTTCCAGAGTTCATACATTTATGTCAGAATGAAAGGAACAGTAAAAGCAAAAGTGAACTAATTTACCCTAAGTACAAATGGCAGTTTTGTTATTCAGTGTCAAAGTTACCGTGAGCACAATGACAACCTGCCATAATGCATTTTCATGTTCACTAAAGAACAAAGATTTAGTTGGTTAATATTCCCAGCAATACTCTTTTTCATAATTTACAACAACTAGATGCTGATAGGTTATTTAACATTTATGAAGTTAAGATGTAATCAGAAAACCATGATTATCTTTATGAATTAAAAAAAGTTAAATTATTCCACTTATTTCTTTTATGACTTCATTGCTTGGCAAGTGCAAATTTTGTAATAGGACAAGTCAAACAAACAGCATCTCGATGGGTTTCCCTGCCATTCTTCTTTGTATTTGCACAGTGAAAATGGTCAGGTCAATGGAAGGGGATCTTGCATTGTTCAATACTGTATTCATTTTTAAGCCAATATGTCCTGGAAGGAAAATGTTTAACAAAAATAAATGTTTTTTAGATGTTATGTTCAAGATTCTTGATTAGAGACATTAGTATAACAGAAGCTAATAATTTTGAAATATACTTTGTTAATTAAACCTGAAATGGTGGTTTCATTCAATATTTAATACTTTTAGAGTTTTACTTAAAAGGTTTTCATGCCTTGGATTAATATAAAAGAAAAGGTTTGTTTTCATTAAGATTTATGATTGTATATTTATCTTGTCATAAAAACAGAATATATTACTTTATCTTTTTAATTACTTAAAGTAACAATACTAAATATTCAAATAAAAATGTTATTTTCTCAAACCAAACCACCATAATCAAATGAGATTTCTAGATACATTTTACATTACCAATGCACTGTGTAATTCTACTGTGTTCTGCCTTCTGCTAAAATTCAATCTGGCAACTTTTTTGTAAAACCATAGAGCAAGCACACAGTAGTAGATCAGGAAATTAGATAGAGAAGGAAGGCAAAATGATTATTATTTATTAGAAAAACCAGTTGTTAACCAATGTTAACAATTACTTGCCCACTTGCCCAATTTCTAGTTTTGGTTTTCAAGCAACAGTGTTATATGCTGCAAGTACTGAAATTAGTGAAGCAGAGGGTATTCAGAGGAGATAGCTGAAATACTATAGAGAAGTTCAAATGGCAAAGAGCTGGCAGTTCAGTTAATCTGTAACATTAAGGGATGACCTCTTAAGTCTGTTGGGTGAAATGTTGAGAAGATACTGGAAGGCCATTTCTCTGTTTCATTATAACCAAGGAAAAAAAACCTCTTACAAGAAAAAAAAGATGCAGTTTTATAAACCCTCAAAACTTATTTTAGTACTAAAGTTTGGAGGATAAGTTCCAACAGAGTCTTAGGTTGGGAAAAGTAAGGATAGCCGATAAAGATGGAAATCAGAAATTATTATGGGTAGAAGCTTTATGACAATTTTCTCATAGAAGACTACTGGTATTAGATACGGGAACCTATCTGTAATACTCCTAGATATGGTGAAGCTACCTGTAATGCATTTAGTTCTCTAACTGCTCAGATTGATATAATGATCATGAAGAAAACAACAGTCTTAAAGGAAAGAAACTGAATAGCCTTAAACGGTTTTGAAAAAAAGTGGTGAGATCCTGGAATAAATCCAATATTGTGGTTAAATTTTCATGTGGGGTTAGTTTTTGAATTAGAAGCCAAGACTTTGAAGAAATATATGGTGATCGTATGGAAAAATACCATAGTGTTATCAATCTTGCTAACCACATAGAAACAGCTATAAATGCCTTTTAAAATAAGTCAATGTCATTAATAGTGCTATCATCAGCAAGTCTACATGCTTGTGACCTCTCCTGTGACAATAATAAGCTTTTGAGGTAGACTGGACTGAAAGATCGTTCAGATCGTTGCTGTGTCTCCGGGTAAAGTAGAACTGGGGTCTCCCCTTTTCAGTCATGTTACCACCCTAAGTGAAATAGGTTAAAGCATCTTTCCATTCTTTAACTAATCAAACCACTACATTTATATCTTGCCAGGTTGGTAAGAGAGGGTTTTTGAATTATTACATTTATAAAGCTTTGGAATTTAGAGACACCCCCATGGTTGAAGCATCCTAAATAAAATAAAAGGAGACTCAATGGATCTGTACTGACGGGTCCTTATGCAATCTAAATTTATTAAGAAGACAAGGAGATCAAATGCCAAAATGTTGCTTCTTTTCATAGAAGAAGGATACTGTGACCAACTAGCCTCTTATTAACGTTTGATGAATAAAAAATTATTTTATTCTAGGAGACAATATCAGTTAAAATGATAATCTCAGTGGGAGAATCGCTGCCAATCTTTATTTTAAAGCTTGATTTCAAAAGAGCGAAATACTGTATATCATTTTATGTAAACTATTAAAAGCATAAGAGAGAAATTATCCATGGAAAAAGTAAACTCTAAAGAAAATAAGATTCAACCTGATATGAATTCTTCCTGCAGAGTATGTAATGTCATTTTATAATAGTTATGATGTAGGGAGGAACACTGTTCTACTCTCAGTTGCTCCTATCACCACCTGCTTTTTTACAATACCACAGTTTCTCAGGTCCCAATTTTATGGGTTGCCTTTCCTTTACAATTTAGCTTTTCATGGGTAGTCTTAAATACAGCAAAGCCTCATATCTAATTATCAGGATTCTTGTAAAAAGACTTTCCTGTGCCATCTTTTTTGATAAGTTCTCAGGTGTTGATCTCTTGGTCAACACCACTCCATAAATCCTCAACCTATCCGCATTCTGTATCTAAGAAATCACTATATCTAGCCTCTTGTTATTGGACCTTTGTAAAAACGTTCATCTTCATCAAAAATTATATTTTTACTTAATTTTTCAGATAATAAGCAGGGGTGGGATGCTACCAGTTCTGCCTGGCTCTATAGAACCGGTAGTTCTGAAGAGTAGTTCTGTGTTTGCTGCTGTTTGGCCCACCCACCTGCCCAGGCTCTTACCTGTCCTGTGCGGCACAGCTGAGGTTGAAAAAACAGGAAAAAAGTGGCTTTTCAAACGCTGCGCACCCACGTGCAGCACTTTTCAGCTGTCCAGGCGGCACAGCTTAAAGGTTTTTACATGCATGCGCAAAATGTAGTCACCGAACCATTAGTAACACGGGTTGAATCCCACCCTGATAATAAGCCTAATGGATCCACTTTATGATCAGCAACAAGAAGCAAGCTTAATTATTCCTTAAGATGCATTATTGTTTGGAATTACTGATTAAAGAAGATAGATTTTTGATGTATTCTTTCTTTTTGCCGTGTTCTAGTCTGGACTATGGTTCTCAACCATCTCCATCAGATTATTCAGTAAATTATCAATATAGCAAAAAGCAGGTACCTAAAATGCATGCACATATATCCATCCACACAAATCATTTGCAAAACTACAAGAATAAACCTTTGTATTTTAATTAATGATTTACAGGTTTGTAGGTGGATGACAAGTGCCCTCACCTATCACACCTGGTAGGAGGTGCAATATTTATTACACGCTTCATCAGACAAAGGAAGTGGATATGCTAGACAGGGAGAAATTGATGCCAAAATTGAAATTATGAACAAGTTCTTATGAGTAAGTTTATGAGTAAGTTCTTCTTTTAACCTAAAATAATAATTATGAGTACTTTCTTCTTTTACAACATTGTTCAGTGTTTCAGGGAATCCACGCAAGCTTTACAACTACACACGGCTATCAGCTGTTTCACACATCAATAAATTCTTGGTGTGTGAGTGAATTATGCTATTCTTACTCAGTATATTAATTTCTAAGCAAGAGTTTCTTATCAATCTTTCTCATCACTTCCCTTCGAAAAATGCTGGTAATAGGACTGTCCTTTTAAAGTGATGGGCAAGTTTCTGTCTCAAATGTTATTAACGTGTCTAAGTATAGAAAAATCTTGGATCAAACCAGGATCCTATAGTGTCCACATCTGTGGCTTTGTCAGGCACCCCAGGAAGTGCATAAAAGAAAACAAAAGATGACAGCTGACTGTAATTATCTGTTCCCATATCCCTAGCATCAGATATTTTACATTCACTTCCCCCATGGCAACGTGCACTAAACTGTGAGAATCTACTGTAATTTCTCATCTTTAAGTTTTAAAACATATCAATTCAAACAGATAAAAAGGAAAGGAAAGAACAGAGGGAGGTTTTTATTCTGATCCGAAAGAACTTAGCTTTCCCTTTTGACCAAGGTTACCATATAAAGACTGTGTTAATTCAGATGTCTGGCAAATGGTACCAGAATATTCTATATAGCTTGAAATCATCATAATGTTTGCAGGATATGTCTGGTTGCCTATTTTTAATTAAAAATTCTTTGTGTAAACTATCTGATCACACAAAAAATTCCACACAGAATCACTTTCGCTAGGTCCAGATCTGCACAGGGATTGGACTGTTAAGAGTGAATATTCAAAGCTTTCACAGAAACTGGTTATCAAAAGTGAGACAGTGTATAGGACACTTTCCAATGAAATCAGCTGTAGATTATAAGTCAAATTCATCCACCTTCTCCTGGGTTTTTAAATCCTTTTAGGCAGTACGGGTGGAGGGGAGTGAGTTTAATTTAAGATTTTAATCTTCTTCATATATTATAGCATTTCTATAATGGATTTTGTGCTTCTGAAAACTAAAAGATTGACAGCTCAGGATATTATAGATCTATTAAGAATTGATTCAATGGACATACAGTAATATTTATTATTCCAAGCATGCAGGTAAATGTTTACTTGGTAACTTTTTATTTAATGTTTTATATTATCTTCTCATCTGGTGACCTTTGTGCAAGATGTAAATATTTTAATATTTTAAATAATTTGGGATAAATACTGAATATTAAAATGGTTATTATGTTTTAGCTATATATATCAATATATTTGAATATTTTTATAACAGAAATGAATAGACTTTTTTAAACCTAAATTATAAACAAGATAATTTGTTATATATCAACATTACTTTTTAAAATAAATAACAATATTATCTATAAGCATATTTCTCTCTCTCCCTCCCTCCCTCCTATCTATTTTCATCATCATGCAATGCTAGTTCTCATTACAAAGAACCTAGGATTTATTTTATCTTTCTTTCTGAACTTTTGTTGGTCTGTATTTAATTTGTGCTCATAATGACTGAATACACATTGTATTCAATAGAACAGGAAACAAAAAGAATATTGTTTCACCCTGTCCTGAAACCAATTTTAATAAATTAGTTAATTAAAACTAAAACAGACTAAAGCTAAAGCTAAAGCTACTAGTATAACTCAATGTCCATCATTAAATTTAATCCATCATATGGCACTTTTTATATTTGAACAGAGTATAGTTGATTTTATTGCTTAATTATTTCATTAATTAGTTTATCATCTGTTACAGATGACTTATTAATATTAATTAATAATATTTAATTAATTATTATTAATTTAATTAATAATAATAATTAATATTAATTAATAATACTTATTATTATTACAGATGACTTATTATTATTATTATTAAATTATTTTGATGCATAAAGTAGAAAAATCCAAAAGGTGGTTGTCTATTGCTGTTATTTGGAATTGATAACTTTTCCTAATATCTGCCTTAGGATGCATCCTTGCATCAATACAACTTTCACGTCTGCCTCTTTCTATAATGGGAACCAAGCAGAGGAAATAATAAATAACTGAAACAGATACATAAGTTATCTATGAGCTTCTGAATACTAATACATATGCTTACCAGGAATGTTCCATGCTACAAATATGGAATATGCATTGATTACTGTGATATTATATGGTATGTGAATCTCCTCCGGTGTTGTTGCTGGTGTCTGGACAATATATTTCTCACTGATATTGCTACCACCCCATGTACTGGCTTCTAGCTGGTAAACATATCTATAAATATATATGAAGGTGCGGGGGGGGGGGGGGGGAGAGAAAGGAGAAGAGGAAACAAAGCCGAGAATATAAAGGTATTTTACAATTCTTTTAGCATTCATTATATTTATCATATTCCAACACAATGTAATGTCCACCATTTATATGAATGTCATGTGACTCTCTCTTCCTCTCTCCCTCCACAGAGAGCCTAGTTCATCTATTTTGTAGTTATGCATTAAGAGCAGGTGCTTGAAATAAGTACTTATTCTTTGGCCAACATGCATATGTATAGTGTAAGGTAGACAAGGATCAAGGAGACCTGCTAAAAAGCTATTCTGCCTGAGGGACTTTACTCATAATCTCTCAGATCAAACTATCTCACAGGGTTGTTGTAGGGGAAAACAACTGGAGAAGGAAACATTATTCATACTGACATTTATGCTCCTATATGAAAGATGGGGCGTAAATCTTACAAATCAGTATCTAACAAGCTTATTGTATTAAATTGTACTTCCTATGGATAAACATAAGGAAAAAAACCTTCCATAATCTATGCCACCATTTCGTCTTTCCTTTATTTCATGCACTATTTTTTAAAATGGGTATGGCCTATCTAGTCATAGAAGCTGTAGCTGGATTGACAAAACAACATATTTGTAGACAAAATCAGCAGCAGTGGTATGACTGTATGGCTGAACATTTGCATGGCTTAATTAAAAATATTATAATATGATAGATATGATTAATTGGTAATCACAATGGATGGAAATAGCTAGCCAGCCCTGGCTAATCTAGAAACTCGGCAGGATCAGGTTATGGTTTAACATGTGAATAAAGAACCACTTTGGCCCTGCAGGCTATAGATTAGACTAGGAATCTAAATCCTAGCAGAAACCCACTTCCATATCATGGCAATAAATGCACACACTGAAATGTAATTCTAGAAATTCTAGACTTGGCTTAGCCTAGTTGTGGTTAGGTGAAAGCTGTTCTGGAAGGCCCAACGGACTAAGTGTTAGTTACCTATACAACATATTTTCCACAATCCAGATAGGTATCTTTATGTGAAGTTCATGGGGAATTGTATTCAGTATAATTTTGATTACAATGTTAATTTACATGAGACATTTGTGTTGGGGCCAACAATTTAGGCTGTGCAGACATCCTGATTCAAAAGCTTAATGTTATTTGGGGCATGCAAGGAGCCCCAATTGGAAGCTCTTAAAATAGTTCTTTTTTCCTGGGCTTGTGTGGTTGCCATCTACAGCAGGTACCAGATGCTTGGAAAGGACATATTTCATTTAAGGTGATCCCAATGGGTGCTAAATGCCTGTCCATGTGTGTTCCAAATGGTAACCTGCCCACCAAATCTACATCTCTGCATAATCCTTGGGTTAAGCCCCAATGTAGGTTAAAGTATGATATATCAATATATATTAAAAAAAAATTAAACAATATCCTTTCTCAAATAAGGGACATTTTACCTGTCATTTGGTTGCATGGCAGAATGAGTGAAATTCATATTTTCTCCACCACCATTGAAAATCTCTTCTCCATTACAAAATAATCTATATTGAATGACAATTCCATTGTTTTTTTCTGGCTCATCCCAATACAATTCTACTATTTTAGAGCTTACGGTAATATGACGAGGCTGTGACCATACTCCTGTAATTACATTAGCAAAACTGTGTTTATAATAATATATTTAGTTTTATAAATGTATTAAAATATGTTAACACATAAAAAATCTAAGCTCATTTATGATTCATCTTTAGAGTTACTAATTTTTTTAATAAATATATTTCACTTATACAACTTCAACCTCAAAATTATATTTCACCTCCTTCAGATAATACTAAACTAGAACTAAAGTACACAATATAAAAGAGCTATATAGCAATACAAAATTCACTAATCATAAATCAATCAATATACAAAAGATTATCATTCCAGAAAAAATAAAAATAATTGTTTAATTAGTTATTAAATAATATCATAACTGGATGAAGTTTGCTTAGGAGAGAGTTCAAAATCATGGATCACTACTGAATAAGCCTTTTCCACTCATAACATTTGCATGCCTCAGAAAAAAGGGGCAAAATAAGACCACATTTTGAGGATCTTAGTGTACATGGCAACACACACACACACACAAATATATATATATATATATATAAACATATATATATATTAAAACATTTATATATTAAAACATATATGGATCTTTGGTTGTTCGGGTTTTCTCCCGCGTAAGATTCGAAGTATCTAGGCAACGTTTCGATGAAGTCTCATTCATCATCTTCAGGCTTCTGTCACCGGCTCTGTGCTTCTCAGAGTAATGTGAGATTGCAGCTGCTTCCTCCTTTTAACTGCCAGTGGGGGTGGGACTTGATTGGGTGGGGGCTTGGCTGTGTTCTGATTGGGTGGGGGTGTGTTCTCATTGGTAGGGGGTTTGGTTGTGTTCTGATTGGTTGGGGGGTTAGCCGTGTTCTGATTGGTTGGAGGCGTGTTCTGTTCAGGTGGGGGCTTGGTTGTGCTCCGGTTAGTCTTAGTTGCTGGGGGATTTGAGCTGGTGAGTTGTGATCTTGCTGTTTGGCTTCTAGTTCGTGGTCCTG